AAGCCCGCCTTACTACAAAAATAGTTGTATAGAGATGCAGGTTTTAAGCGTAAACACGTTTGACGGAACTCCGTCTGGTGGAGTAAAAAATTTGAGAAATACAGACCTTCACTACCCAAGTCCTAAATATTTAGGAGCTCGACGTTTCAGTAGGTCGGGCTCAACAGGTCGACGGCCACTCAACCATCGGCGTATGTGGACTTGCTAAAGCACTTGAAGAACAAAAAAAGTCCTAAAACACGTAAGCACTTCGTATGACTTGTGAAGGCGAAATCATTAATGTCGTTCTTCTGCTTCCTTAGTTCGCCTGCGGCGTAGTGGCGTAGACGGCTCCGGTTCGTAGGCCGACGGCCGAGCGCGCGCTCTCGTGAAGTGGCCTCGCCGTGCTGAGCCCGGCCGTGCAACATCTTCGGAGTTTGCCCGAGCGGGCCGTGCGGCCGGGCTCGCACCGCCGCACCTCTTACCGGCAGCCGGACCGCTGCGTGCGCTACGCCGCCAAGGAGAGGGCCTCTATGGTGGCGTTTTTTGGGACTACGCCGCACGAGAGCCAATGGGATTTCGTTCCTTGATGACACACGCTAGCCAATGGGAGCCTATCGATTTCTGCTACACGCGACATTTGGATGGAGTAGCGCACCGTTTGGCGCGGCTTCAAAGCTGATGACGTAGGTTCGCTCCACGGGACAGTTAAGGCTTTTGCAATAAAAGTGAAGGAAGCAAACGACACATCGTTGATAGAAAAGAAGCTGCAGCTGTCCACGTGCAAATTGTTGCCAGTGATGAAAATACCGAACCGGTTTCGAAACGTTGAGCTCGTAACTGTTCAGGACTTCGTTGGTTATCGTTTGTATTTCTCTAATAAAGGTGCGTGCAATGATTTTCCTAATTACACATAAATATCGCGAAGAATAGACAATATATTTCTAACTTAAATCAAATTTGGACATCGAATTGCACGACCTCAAGATTTCGCAGAATACATTCTCGGGAGGCTAAAGTTATATTCGGTTGTACGTGCATTTGTTTTGTGGCCTCATTTTACAACTCTGTGCTTTATCAGCCTTGCGCGGTTCTCACATGCCGGTTCTCACATGCAGCGAATCGCTGATGTAGCGCTGCTCACGTGTCGTCACCTACTTAAATAAGTTCCAGGCTTCCTTTCTTTTCGACAGGCCTCTTTTTCTCTCTCTCAGCTACTCCTAGTCTGCCATCACAGGAACAGTTTTGACGGTACGACACAAAGCTGGTGAACGCTCCTGTCAGCACGCGCTTAGCGTGATGTAAACGATGTGCTTGTATAGGGAGTATTCACTGGACGCCATATTTGTGGGTGCTGTTTAGAGCGCATGCTCAGAACGAGCCCACATCAATAGGCTGCTAAGACCGGCACTTCTGATGGTGCGGAATGCACGCTGCAAAAGAACTGTGGAAGCTCGCCATCAGCACGCGCTCAGCATTCGCGCACAGAGCTATGGCCGCCGGTGAATACTCTCTATAGCACTCCGCTGCATATGTGAACAGGCCTTTAGGCTGCCGAGTATCATCGCGGGACTGTTATATATACTGCACAACTTTACAGTTTGGACATCCCTTTTGTTATGCTTCGTTTCAGCTTAAAGGGGCATTGATAAAGAACAAAAGAAAACCAAATGCTGCTTCGAAAGGCGTGCCTATCAGTGTCATGCACGAGCGTTCAGTGACGACATTGGTCTAGAGCGTCAGATAATGATGACATAAAATTTTAGAGGAAATACTGACTGAATAGGCGCAAGTGATTCCTTCTGATCCTTTCAAGCACGTAACTCTCACTCAAAATGTTTGATTGAAACACCCGCAAATTGGCGATGCGTTCACATCTTCGTCACTGGATGTTAACTTCCAACATTTAGGAAGATCGCGCATGGTAATTGCACGTTCTTGTCGTTTAGGTTCTCTGTTGCTTCAAATCAAGGAGGTCATCAGCAAAAAAAAAAAAAAAAGAGAAATGTGCTTAACATTTTGAACTTTGTTCACCTATTATGTTCAATATACGTAAGGTTTTTCTTTTTATTTTATGTTTAATATGTTGCTAGAGTCACACTCACTAGTTAGAGCGAACGCGATGCAAATTCAAAAATGGCCAGAAACGCTTTGCAGGGCCCCTTGAAGTCCAGACGCAGCCGATGCTACAAGCGCGAGCATGTGGTCCTGACCAGTGCTTGCACTGCAGGAGCGCGCGTGCTTTGCAAGAAAGCTGAAAGCCCGGAGCTCGCTCTTTTAGCTTCTGCTGCGCTCGCACTTACCGCTCATTCGCACTGGAATCGTATCCGCGTTCGCAAAGCGGTTGCGAACGCGGTTGTATAAAGATCCAGTACAATTGCACGTGCACTCGATGACATCAAGTACGCGTGCAATTGTACTGAATGTTTATACAACCGCGTTCGCAACCGCTTTGCGAACGCGGATCCGCTTCCAGTGTGAATGAGCGGTTAAGGCGGCGGTCCCACAGCGGCCATCTTGAACAAGCCATTAGTTCAACCACTAGATGGCGTCACTCATCCGTGTGGCCAGAAAACTGGCTCGCGTGCCACTGATGTTCCTCCTCTGCTCTTAAATTCCTCCTTTCGGCTGCTCGCCCAAGCACGTTCAGCGCTCAGCGCGTGCTCTCACTGACACACCGGCCAGCGAACGTGCCAGTGATGCTAGCAGTGCCCAGTTCGCCCAGAAGCGGAGACCACACAGCTCACCTACCCGAGCGAGAGTGCATAGCTGGGCAAATTTTGCTCTTTGATACAAGCTTTGTTCCGCGCTGCAGGGCTGGCAAAGCGGTTTCGTTAGAGGCTCACGAGCCAGTAGCTATCGTTTGAACTATTCAAGAATTATAAACATATTCAATCAATCAGTGAAGAATGTTATCAAGCGATAAAGAACATATCTAAGATATGCTTGTCAGAATTTTGTGAACGAAAGAGCTTTTGCACGACATAAACATTTAAATATATTCTCGCTTTATGTGAGAGCGCAGCTGACATAACAGGTCAATGAGGCCAATCAAGCAAAGCCTAAAAAAAAAAGAAAACACTACGTCACAGAGCTCAATGTCGCTTAGTGTGTTTGTTGTCACCGGTTAAATCAATTGAGTGCAAACCATGCACCGTGGCCATGCGCTTTTAGTATGCGTGTTTGTGCTTGTGTACGTTGTAGTCCTTGACTGCAATTTGATTTATGATAAAACAAACAATAGCAGAATATGTTTTCAAGACGGGTGCTCATAGAACTCATCAAACTGATTATAGTTCGAATAAACTTGCTTACCAATTATCTGACCTTATAAATAACCACCCAAATATTGTTGAAATAAAGTACACCAAATTCGAAGAATCCCCATGTTCAAGAAACGAGTAAAAATGTATTTTTAGCCCCAGTGACCTGAACTTAAAAATTGTTCCGCGAGTGAATAGCAGATTTTGAAGTGCTTTTTTATACTGCTTTTGACTTTTTTTTAATAAGAATTAATTCGATTGATAATTCAAATGCAAGGCGCACCTAATTTGTTAGGCCATTAGGAGGTACGGTTTTCTTTGCGGCCCTATCGTTGCTGTGGTTTTCATTACTGTGGATACAACGAAAGCAACTACACCCTCGCTCCACCTCGGTGGCCATCACGCCAGCCGCCGACAACATGAAATCAAGAAAGCCACAAAAGACAAGCAGAAATCGCTTAAGGACCTGCTCATTATCTGTTCCGGCCAAATGAGTGTTTGTCCGCTATGTGCCATCCATCTTGGTGTAGTCGTGAATATTGTCGCTTTGCCGCACACCCTGCCCTTACTGTAACTGCCCCTACTTTCCAAGTATAAAGGATGTATTACTCAAAATAAGAAGGGTGTAGGCCAAGGATGCAGGTCTTCTCTACGCCCATTCTGCACTCTTAAAGGCGCAATATTTTAGTGCCTGGTCACCTTTGTTCCATTGAAAATGTATGTCCTAATAATAAAAAATGATAACAATCGATATCCGTTATTGGTCGAGCTAAACTAATTGAAAAACAACCGATTGTTAATGTTCCGAGGGCATTGCGGGGCGATATACAAGTTCTGATAATGTATATAGTACGCTCATTCAATGTATTTTGTCATCCTGCACCAGCTGCACTTGGTACGCACCGCCCTATTCAATTTGCGAGTCTGGAATCTGAAAACACAACCCGAAATTGCCCTGAACTTTTCTGCACCGCGCTACACGTTTCTGAAACTGGCGCAGCCTGGTGCAGGTAAATCGAATGATCCCAATGACATCAGCAATAAATTACATGTTATAAGTAAGAAGCGACAAGAGGAGGTGCATATACGAGCTGATAAAGGACAAGTGAGAAAAGTATAAGTTAGGTTTAATACAGTTGAAAACGAGCGTGTTGGTTAATAGATACAAATCTTGAAAGTATAAAACAGAGAGGACGAGGACGGGAACAGGACATCTTTCAGAAGATGTCCTGTTCCGTCCTCGTTTTGAAAGATGTCCTGTTCCCGTCCTCGTCCTCTCTGTTTTATACTTTGAGGTTTAATACTTAAAGCTAATTTACAAAATAACAGTGTTCGTCAAATATACAACACCAAAAATCAAAATTAAGAGCGAATAACATAAAAGTTAAAAACAAGGGCTAATATAATAAAGTTTAGGCAAAAAGTAAATTAGAAACGAGACATTAACGAATGAGCTGCGTTGACTTTTCGGTGTGAAACGTGAGTTCCAGTGACACTTATCTGACAGTTTTGTACAATGTTAAAACGGAATCACATAATTGGGTTAATTCTGGGCATGGATTCTTAATTGTTCGTGAAGAGGAAGCCAGGCCATGCTGTGTTCGAATAGATGTCTTTACGAGGCCAGCTCTTCGGTCAAGTTTTTGTTTGTCTGGGAACGGCGGTGGATGGCGACAGTTGTGGTTTTTCCTGTGCTTCCAGATTAAAGGCTCAGTGACTACCGTGTATCCTTGGATGATACGCAATGCCTTCTCCAAGTTACGGTAGGTTCTCGTTTTCCCACAGATTCATCACGTCACTGTCCGCGGTTCTCATCGTAATCCAGTTCTTCATACTCCTCACCTGATCTTCGGTGAAGTGATTTCTCCAGTCTCCGATTACGCCCTTCCGTACAGGGTTTCTCATGAAAGGTATTTTCGCCAATAACCTGAAGAATACCTCGCTTGCCTCCTTGGACGTTCGATTTTTCAGCGGTGACGACTCGGAAGACCGCTCGAGAGGCGACATAAACAGACCGTCGCTTAACGTTTTCTTCATGCTTTCACTGCTGCAGGCATGCAGTATCCGCGCTACGATGCCCGGATTGTTTCGTAACCGCTCGCCGTGGTCTTTTCCTAAAAATTCTGCGATTTTCAGCGCCCCGCTTTCCGTGTCCCTCGTGAGGTCCTCGTAAGTCATGAAGAGGACGTTGGCGTCGTGTCGATGCTTGTACCAAGAAAGGAGGTTTTCAAAGTAATCCCCGAACTCCACCTTTCCTTCCAGAAACATGTCCAAAAACTCCTCGAAGGTTCCCTCCTCGAAGGCGTAGGCAGGCGCGACTTTGATACCGTAGAAATAGGAGACGCAGCAATCGTACGGATTCCTCGCGAGATACAGATACTTCGCCTGCTTCGAATAGGGTTGTTTCTGGAAAGGAAGGTGCGTCTTAATGGCGATCGGTCTGGGAGTTCTCTTAATGTGTCCACAAGCCTCCAAAAATGGCATCTTCGACCAGAAGTCTTGACTGTTCCCAGGGGGAACTCCGTCGTTGAAGATGGCGCACAGGATGTACTGGAGCCAGGTCGTCCCGCACTTTGGATAGGTCACGACGAACACGTCCTCTGGTTGCGCTTCGTAGGAAAGCGCCGAGTGAACGCAATCGTCATCAAAATAGTAGCTCAGGAAGAGGCCTTCAACCATCCTGTAAGCTTGACGATGTTTCGCGATGTCCTTGTCACTCTGCATGTCTTGGTTAGTCGCCGTACCTGTCATAACCGGAAGAAAGCATTAGGCGAGATAAAAAGGCGCGGAATTAGACCGAATTTCGAAGTTATTTTACACTCCTATATGTTATTCAAGCATGCCTTGAATAAAAATAAGTTACCCTCGCTCTGCGTAAAATATGTACTAATAAAGGGGACCCCCGTATTCCTTGATCCAAAAAATGGGGAGGAATGAGTCACACATTGGATAAGCTGACAAGAAAAAAATCGCAAGATTCAAACTCTACTGGCGTGTACGCCGTACAATGCCAAAAAAACCAGCCCCAATACTTTGGGTCCCCCGAGCAGCTTATGGCATCTAAAACACCATATGCAGTCTTGTGCGCAGCAAGGACGAGGACAAAAGGGGAGAACAGGACACAACAAGGTGCTCAAGATTGCATAAGATGTCAAAACAACTCGCCCAAACAACCACTTTTCCGAAACACCAAGCTTTTAGGTGACCCAAAGCTTTGCAGCCCCCTATTCTAAAACTTTCTAATAAATCAGCACGGGAGCCTTGGTCAACATACATTCCAGAAGCTTTACTCGGTGACAGATTAATACTCTCCACCTCGAGCGCGAGCATATCTTCAGCACGTCACTGACTATAGGTCGTGTACCCAGTTTACCATATATTATGCTTGAGTTGTTAGCATAATGAAGCTGCGTACCTTACACTTAGAGACTCTGGGGTCCATCACGTCATCTAGATTTATACTTAGTAACTTCCCCTTCCCCATCAATCCTCACAACCCTTCCCTCTCGCCTCAGGGACACCAAACCATAGACGGGTGAACCTTTCATTAAATAAGACATGTTTTCTCTTTCTCTCCCTCGCAAGTTACTGAGCGAATACTGCGCCGCAAAGCGATCAGAACACCAATTATGACCTTTCTTTCGTTAAAGTCTAACCAGTGCGCCGCCCTGCAGCAAACAAAATAATTGTATATCTCCCTAATTTCCACCGAGAACGCAACTGAACCGTATTGGTATACGCTTTTCGCCACTGAGGCATGACCAGTGGGGCGCATAGCCGCTTGCCGTTCTCATTATGCAAATTTGATGAAGAAACCGCAATTATTGGTGTACAGTGCGTTGCGTGAGCTTCTGAGAGTGCAGTGTCTAGTGAAAATTACACGTTTACTTCGAAGGACGAAAAAGGGGGGGGGGGGGGGGGGAAATAGGGGGGAATTAAAATAGCAAATGGAGAAATACTGCTTGCGTGTTCAATTTAGAGTGACTTCGACGCGACTTCAAGTAAACCTACAAAGTCCACGCATATTTTGAAGGTTGCCAAAGGTGATTGAAATAACTTGTAGAGACCTTTGCGGATACCTCAACGTGGCAGCCGAAGTTCCGCCAAAAAAAAATATATATATAATCCTATTTCCAGGGTTCTGAAGGCACGAAGTTTCCAAACGAAAAGTCGGCTGCCAATCTGAGGCCTCCAGGAGGTTTGTTTTCAAATGCTACCAAATACCATTCCAGGAACGGTCTCCTGACCGCTGCCATTCTCGGCGTTCGTGCGGAGCATACTTTGCTGGCTTTCCGAAGCGAAGACCAGCTTGGCTGTGCGAGGTCGGACGCAGAACTTTGGTTTTGTAATGTTAGATAGCCGCCCGGTCAAACATCAAACAAGTATATATAGAACTCAGCCCTCCCAAAACAGAAGGGACACGGATAGAAACATACTGCGATATGGTCATCATATTCTGCATCACATGCGACAATCCCCCGAAAAAGCAAAACGAAACAAAATTAAGTGCGGCAGCGGAATCGGCGTTAGATAATGCAATGGCCTGGACATAAAGTAAATAAATTGATTTCGGATAATCAACAAACGTTGTCCATGTACAGGTTTTTTCTTGCCTTTACACGTAAGAAGATAAATGAAATTACCCCAAAGATGCTCCTGGTGGCCAACACGACAGCGAGTTTATAAAAGGATAAAGCAGAACAGGCGGCCTGTAACTTTTTCTCTTCCGATATTTAATACTATATAGGCTGTGTACTTTCGAGTTGAACAAGGTAAATGGCGAACGCTACGACCCCATGAGCTGATCAGCGCGACAAAGCGATCAAAGTACGTGACACCTCTTTACGACTTGAGGGCACTTCGACGGTGCGTTGTCACGCGTTTCGCTCCGGCGCCCTGATTCACTTACCGTATCGTTCGCCTTTTATCGGGTTATGCTCAAACGAAGCACCTTGGAGCTGCGAAACTAATCTATTATCTTGTCAGTTTGTCGTCAAACGCATTAATAGTCGGATATATATATTTTTTAAACGATTGATCCTTGAAAACTGGACCCTTCTATGCGGTTTACAACCATCGCTGTAAAACTGGACATAAATAATGTATTCCAGCAGCACACCGATACCTGGTCAGCGTCGTGCGAGTGTCGTCAATGTCCAGTTTTGCACCACGTCCTCGGGCTCTAATCTGGACACTTGGCCGGAAAGTGGACGAGGAATTCGACCGCTGTTATTGGATGGCGCCAAGGTAGAGTGCTGCGCCAGCCAATCACGGCCTCCGGATTTCTCGCCGGTTTTGTTGCCATGTGCCCAGATTAGAGCCCCAGATTGGCGAAGCCTCGTTTCACAAGCGGCGTGACATCGTGCTACAGTATTGATATTAATTTCCGTCATCTCACTATCGGAAGGTCTATGAAAAAATACTTCCCTGGGAAATGTACCGCGTGATGGCTGGATATTACGGCGGTCTATTTAGTTTTCACGGAGCTTGTTTGAAAGCCGTACCCTGTGCTGCACTGAATTTTTACGTTCTCGCGAGTAAAAAGTGAGCAGTGCCGTATTAATCTGCATCACAAATAGATTTCACACTGAAACGCGGCGCTACAATTTGTATATATTCTTTAGTTCAATTTATAAAATGTTTAAAAGTGTAAGCTTTTAAACGTTTTTTTTTTGTTCTCAGAATTCCCATATAAACAAATGAAAGTTTTTTTTTTTCATGTACAATTATTTTGATGCTTATAAGGTCACTATAGTTGCTGAAAAGAAGAACCCAAACGTTGTCAGAGGAAATACATGGGCTCTGTTGTGACATCCTCTTAAAAGCAAACACGGGGGTACTCAGTTTTCTGTTTAATCCGCATTTTGCACCTCGGAATCCACCAGAATTCTTACACATATGAAAATGGTCCGTCAAGACATTTGCTAGCCGCAAGCCCCCTTTCTTACCAAAGAGAAAAAAGTTTGAAAGAAAATGCGCCAGCATTAGCGTAAAATAATCAGAACTTAATGGAAGACTGGATCCTTACCTTTCGTCTTAGGTTTCGTTTCAAAATAAAATGAGGTTAGCAGACAGTGCAGGGGAAAATTTTAGTTTTGTGTACCGCTGCACTTTCCGCGCTGAATTCAGTGAGATCGATCCAAAAAGACGCGGTGCGCGTAGAACATTAATGCGACCTGCCACAACTAATAACCTATCGTTAAAAAAAAAAACGGCTACTGTAGGTAGCAGCATCACCATCACATATGCGTTGGATTGGCACTTAAACAGCAGTGTGTTATTTCCTTCTGCCACGCACCTGCGTGAAACTCGCAAGGCAGGCGAATTTTTTTGGAAACGACAACAGCTGGAAGAGGACAAAGAAAACAAAAAGATTCGTTTTCTGCTAAAAAAAAGAAAAAGAAAAGAAAAAGAAGGCTCTGCCGCTTTGTGCAGCTTGTCGAATAAAAATCAAGATGACCTCAATCCTAACTTAAATCACTATTTAAATCATGATTTAAATCAGATCGGTTTTACGATGATCATTTAAATCAAACCTTTCCCGCAAAAATAACCCCAAAACTGTATTTAATGCGTTAGAATTAGAACTCTTGTTTTGACGAAAATCCGGCGCTGGCTTTCGTTTGTCAGCGCCGGGGAGAAAGGGAGAAAGAGGGGGAGAGGGTGACGCGTGCGACGCTCTCATTTGTTTGAAGCGCTGACGTCAGCACGCGTGAACCTCTCCCTCTCTCCCTCGCGTTGGCAAACTGACAGACACCGCCGAGTTTTCGTCAAAACGAGCCCTTTCGTTTTCGTGAAAGGAGGGTCTAACATCTGGCGTGGAGCTGAAGAGGAGGAGGCGCCGCTGCGCGGTGGAATGCGGGCGTGCTCAGATGCCGCTCTGCCGTCGCCGGTTGTTCTTCGCTCTGTATTTCCATTGTAGCGGTGCATGGGCTGGGATGTGCATGTTTAGTTAAAACGATGTATGCGGTTCCCTCCATGAGTAATATGGATGCGGTTCCTTCGACGAGTGGTATGGATGTGGTTCTTTCCACAAGTGATGTGGAGGACCGTATCCAAGGGCGTCGACCAGGATTGTAAAGTACCTATGTACAAGTAACTGGAAAGCGGTATCTAGGTACTTTTGTTGTACCTGAGGTACAAACTTACGTACTTTCATTTCTCGGTATCGGTAACTCGTAACCAAGTGAAGTTACTTCTTACAGGTACTTTTTTTATTAACTTTGTCAAAATGATAGATACTTTAAATTTTGAAGCGTTAACACACTACCATATGCCGTGATGAACGATAAGTTGAGTATGACCTGGGCGGCACTGACCTGATCAAACGACGTTTTAGCGAACGAAGCCCCGCCCGTGATGTTTCATCGAACGACACTTTATCGAATGGCGGTCACACTTGAGCGGACGGTGGATTAGCGTTGCCGCTCTAGCGACATCAAGTTATCGAATCGCCTCGAAACTCTGTTTACAAAAAATAGCGACCTGCTTCCTTCATCTCAAACCGAAATCGACTTCATGGCGTGTTTGAAGCTCCAAGGTGTGCGCAGTTTCTGTTGCCTGTATCTTGTCCTGGTGGTGTCTCTTTTCTGCCATAAATACGATATAAAATATAATTGAAAATAAAATATAATTACAATCGTAAAGCAATTTAACATCGCGTGTAGAATACAGTTGCCACTGAATAAATCGGACTCAAATTTTGCAGTTATCAAAACTGAAAAAGTGCCCCCCCCCCCCCCCCCAGAAAA